CGGCTGCCTGAAAAAACAAGCAGAACGGTAATGCCAGGTCGTTTTTACTTTTTATACCATCTTTTATTAGAATTAACTTTGGAAAAATAGAAAAAAAAAATACCGTCAAAATAAAAAAATTACACACAAGGATTCATAAAAATTGTTATCAAAATTTAAACTAATATTGTCGCAGATTCTTATTTATAATTTTTCCATTTTCATGATTTTTTTTGCCATTTTTCTGTTAACATTTTAGAATAATTTAACCAAGTGCGAACTAGCACGCACTAGGCATATGATGGTGGTTTTATTAGGGAACTAGCACGCACTAGGCATCCGTAAATTTTTTCTTTCGAAGATCTGGTGAGACAATTAGTCACTATTTCTATGATGTGTTAGGAGCCATTATTGAAGTAGGCGATAAATTTATTGTGCAACCTAATGGAGCAATAGTCCCTCCTGAAATCCATGCAAATGAGAGGTTTTATCCTTTTTTTAAGGATTGTACTAGCGCTATAGATGGAACACATATACATGTGAAGGTATCTGTTAAATATGCTCCTCGATATCGTGGTAGGAAAGAATTCCCAACACAGAATGTGTTAGCAGCTTGCTCATTTGATTTAAAATTCACCTATGTGCTCACTGGATGGGAAGGCACAGCATCTGACTCTAGAATTATGAAAAATGCATTAACACGAGAGGATAAGCTGAAAATTCCTGAAGGTAAATACTACTTTGTGGATGCTGGTTTCATGCTAACTAGTGGACTCATTACACCCTACAAACGAGTCCATTATCATTTGAAAGAGTTTTCAGAAAGAAATCCACTCCAAAATTATAAAGAATTGTTTAATTTGCGACATTCGTCATTACGCAATGCAATTAAAAGGGCTTTTAGTGTTTTGAAAAAAAGATTTGACATTTTAGCCAATTCAGCTGAGCCTACTTATGGAGTGAAAGCTCAAACTCTTATTATTGGAGCATGTTGCATTCTTCATAACTATTTAATGAGTATAGATCCTAATGAGGATCTCATAGAAGAAGTAGATCGTGAACTTGCAACTCAATCTGAGTCTAATGATAATAATCGTGATCGACGTGGTGACAATGAGGAGGCTGCTCGGGGACAATTGATTAGAGATACTATAGCAAATGAGATGTGGATAGATTATCAAAATAGGCTAATGAGACATGATGGCAATGTACCCTAATCAGTTTAAAGCTTGTGCTTTGATGTACTTGTTGTTTCATGTCTATTTGGTTGTATTGTATTTGATATTTGAGACTTGTTTTTTTTTTAAATTTGGTTGTATTGTAATAATTTTGAAATTAAACTTTTATGTATTGTATTTGAAGTTTGAGACTTGTTACTTTTAAATTTGGTTGTATTGTAATAATTTTGTAGTTAGACTTTTATGGATTGTATTTGAAGTTTGAGACTTATTGCTTTTAAATTTTTTATGTAATGTAATAACTTTTGTTTGTCGTATTGTTTTATTATTTTGATAACAGAATGCTGCCCAAACCGAACAACAATAAGCAATGTTTGAATTGGACAAGAGCGATGGATGATTATCTTGTTGTCGCGTTCATGGAACAATATAACTGTGGCAATAAAGTAAATGACATGTTCACAACCACTGCGTATGAGAACATTATGAAAGAGATGAGTGCTTTACTTGATATTGAAATGGACAAGGAGAAGATTAAGAACAGGTGGAAAACTTTAAAAAATAACTTCTCTGAAATTTATGATATTTTTAAAAATGGTTTAAGTGGGTTTGCTTGGAACCCATCAACCCAATTATGGGAGGCAGGAGATGAAGTGTGGGGTCAACTTATTGAGGTCAGTTTATGTTATTTATTGTGGAGAATTTTTAACATCTAAACCCTCTATTTATTCATTAATATTGACTATTATTTGAATTTTTTCTTTTGTAGTCAAAGCCTAAAGCTGCAAATTAGAGAGATATTCCCTTTCCCAACTATAACAAGATGATCATCTTGTATGAAAATAATAGAGCATCAGGGGAGGGAACTCATATTATAGGTGAGATGCGAAAGAGACATCATTCAATTAATAAAGAGGACTTTCTTGATATAGGCAACAACACAGAAGATGTTGCTCCCCAACATAATATTAATATGGAGCATTTTGAAATACTTGATAATGGTGTCAATCAAGATAACTCACTTGGAGTTGCAAGTGCTTCATCTAAAAAGAAGCAAAAGGTGAATTCAACTAAGGAAAAAGACTCCGAATTAAGTGAGATTAAGGATGTCATGTCTGAAATTGCACAAACTATTAGAGAAAGTGCTAGAAAGATTCCACAAGTTTCGGGTGAAGAAGTATGGAATATGGTTAAAGATTGTGGCGTCTCAACAACCTATATTGCCAAGATCTATAAAGCTCTTATGGGTGATGATGGGCTACTAAGGACATTTGTTGAATGTCCCCTTATTGGGCGCAAGGATTTGCTTATGGAAATTATAAATGATTTAGGAAATTAGTTTGCTAATCATTTGGAGACTTTTGATGTTAAGTGATGTTGATGTTATCAATTATAAATGGCTTAGAAAATTTATAGTTTACTGACTATTTGGTGACTTTTGATATTATGTGACCTTAATGTTGCCTATTATGAATCACTTAGGAAATATTTAGTTTACTAATCATTTGGTGATTTTTGATGTTAGGTGACATTAATGTTGCCAATTATGTAATGAACTAATGATATTTGATAATGATAATATAATATTTCTATCATGACAGCGATTTTTTTTGTAATATGATATGACGAGTATATATTAATAGAGGGTGGTGTATTATAATTATATAATATATACATATTATAGCTTGTGTCTATTATAATTATATATCATAGTGTGTGTATTATAATTATATAATATATACATATTATAGCTGTGTCTTTTATAATTATATAATATTTTCTAATTTTTTTTAGTTTTATCATAATTTTTTATCACATATTAGTGAGGTAATTGGTTTTTTGAAATTGATAAATTAGAAAATAATAATTTTGATATAAATATTGTAATAAAAGAATGAATCAATATAAATATAGAGATAAGGGCATATTTGTCAATTTATAATCCCCTCCCCTCCCCTCCTCTTCTGAACCAAACAAGAAATCTCCCCTCCCCTCCCTTCCCCTCCAACCAAACAAAACCCATGATCTCCCTTCTCTCCCCTCCCCTTCCTTTAGGGTATGTTTGGCTCAATGAGAGGAAGGGGAGGGGAGGGATTTTAATGGAAGGAAGGGGAAGGGAGGGGAGTGGAAGGATTTTAATATTATCTTGTTTGGATTTATAAAAAAGGAGGGGAGGGGAGGGAAAAACATTTTTAATATGGATAATTTTGCTCTTATTTTATTTAAGGTGTGGGTATAATGGTCACAACATGACAAAATATAGACATAATGATTACAACATGACAAAATATGGGCATAATGGTCATAATATGACAAAATATTGCCATTTCCCTCCAAATCCTCCCAATTTTGGAGAGGAGGTTAGGGAGGGGAGGGGAGGGGAGGGGAATTTTTTTAAAATTTCCCCTCCCCTCCTAAAATTTGTGTGTTGCCAAACAAGGGAAAATGATTAAAATCCCTCCCCTTCCCTCCCCTCCCTCCCAAATCCCTCATACCAAACAAAGCCTAAGTGTCTATAGAATTTTCCAAAATCCAAACAGTCCTTTGTACCAGGCTTTCGTAATTGGCTCTAAAATGATACTACTTCTACATAGGGGTGTGCATGAAGCCCAAATGCCCGCAGAGCCCGCCTGAGCCCGAAGAAAAATTGCCCAGCCCAGCCCGAAAAAAAAGAGCCCGAAAAAGAATGGGCATCTTTGGGCTGGGCATTTCATGGGCAGGGCTGGGCATCGGGCAGGACATGCTGCCCTGCCCATTTAGCCCTGCCCAGATTATATATATATATTATAATTTATAAAATAATATTAATATATTACATTTCTTTATCTAAAAAAAAGTTATCTCCCTCCTCTTTGCAATTTAATTTATTATTATTACATGTCTATTAGTTTTCTATTTTAGGGGATCTAATTCTTCTAAAGAAGCAGTAGTATCTTACTTTTAACTTGTTCTTCGTGAGCTTTATTGTGCATATCCTATTGTTTGTTGCTGTTGTAGTGTTGGCTATTTATAAGTCAATCTTCCCCTCCATGTCATTAATAACTTTCTTTGTTAGAGAATGGAGTTCATACATTACATATTTGTATAAATAAACAATTTTGAATATTTATGCAAGATAGAAAACAAGATTGGGGTAGGAGCATGGAAAGAAAATTGGGGTTTAATTATATGAATTACATGTTTTCTATTTAATTTATATTTAGTTATTTTGTATTAATTTTTTATGAACAAGTCATATAATAGAAAGAAGTCTTTTAGTTGTATGGACTGCTAACTGCATTGTATCGCATAATAAGTATTTACATATTAAAAGTCATTATATTAAATTATTATGAGATTATAAGATTTTTTATTTTTCTTTTTACAATTATTTTCACCCCATTTTTATATGGTCTATGTTATTCCTGTCAGCCAATTGCTTCAATTTTAATATCTTTTTGCAATCCTTTAGGTAACATTTAATTTTGCCACTTAAATGGATAATCAAGTTTCTATTATATCGCCATCCTTGGCTCCCAATGGAATATCTCAATGTGCTTCAACCTCTCTTCAATTTTTTCAGATGTTTTATTCTTTTCTCAACTTTCTGGAGATTAATGCAAACCGTTTGAATTTCAAGACTTTAATTACAATCTTGAGAGTTGTTTTGTTCTAAATAGATTATGAATATTATTTATTTGGATATTTGCTAAGACTTATTTTGAATTATTTTTGGATAATTTTAATGTGTGAAAATATAAAATTATGAAATGTAATTTTCAGGTATGGATGAAAGTTTTTTTACATGTGATATCGGTAGGTCATCACCATTTGGGCAGCAAAGCCCGCCCATGCCCAGCCCAAATGGTTAGGGCTTTTATGGGCAAGGCCGGCAACGGGCTGCAAAATGCAGCCCGTTCAGGTTTCGGGCCGGGCATCGGGCAGGGGTTCTGCCCTGCCCAGCCCTGCCCATGTGCACCCCTACTTCTACATGAGGCTTACAAAAATGGATGGTTTGAATTGACGAAGGATCCGGCCCGGCCCACTCTCTCCAGTGGTGGCTCTAGCCTCCAAGTAAACCAATAGTGGAAGCCCGTGGAGGAGCCTCCAGTTGTTATATTGCCCCCAAAAAAATAAAAAAACAAGATGACTTTTATTAGTTGGTGCTTTTTTAAGTTTTTACATTGATACATATAATTTTGACAATTTTTCACCTGAAATTTGAAACTATCGATAAAATGGTAGAACATGAAATCGGGAATCACTTTGTCGTTTGAAGAATTCTTTGGTATACCAGATATTACATTAAAATTCTTATTATGTACATCTTAATTAGTGTGGATTCTGTAAATTATACTGCAATCATTAGGATTCAATTTTGTCTCGTCTCAACTGGCATAAGGTCACTGGGAATTACCATGCATGCAAACAATCCTCTTTGACAATAAGGATGTGTCATTAGCATACTACTACCTCCGATCCTTAATATAAGAACTAGTTAACTAATTTAAGTAAATTAAAAAAGTTTTTTAGGTTAGTTATTTGTAATAAATAAATATTGTTTTTCCTAAAATACTCTTACTAATCACGTGTATTAGCTAGAACTACTATTTGATAGAATTTTTAACGTGTGCAGTTACTACAGTGACTACTTTGAAAAAAAAATAAATATGAGAAATAAAATAAATTGAGATCTTATATTTAGAGCCAACAAGAGTAGCGGAGGTGGTATATTACCTATACATGCTTATGTTTCTTTGCTGTGTTTTAAATTTTAAATTAAAAAAGTCACATATCAATGATAAATATTGAAACATACAGTTGTTTTATTTTCAACAGGGTACGCAAGTTTTCGTTATTGCATGAATTTTATTTCCTATAATTAGAGATGCTAGAACGCTGCGGGTGGAGAATTTTGCGGCATCTATACTGTGAACACAAATAATTCACAATAATAAGGGTGTTGATTAGAAAATGCCGGAGAATCACTCGCTAGCCATTAAACGCGTCAATGTAACGTCTTCCTTCTTTCCCTTCTTAAACGGGTTCCTTCAATTGTCCTGGGCCTTCTAAGGGGGGCGACGCACTTTATGATTATTCCTCTTCTTCTTTCTTCTCCATACAATGCAGGCCTCGGACTGCCTCCTATTGCTATTCTTTCTACTCGCATCTGTATACTTTTCAAGTGCTCTTTCAAATGCTGAGGTCTCCTTCATTGCTCATCGACAATTATTGACGCTTCGTGAAAATGAAGACTTGCCTGATAATTATTCGGACAACTACAAGACAAATCTAACTTTTCCCCATAGCAGACTCAAGAGCGCTTATATTGCGCTTCAAGCATGGAAAACAGCGATGTATTCAGACCCCTTTGAGACCACCAAGAATTGGGTGGGAGCAGATGTTTGTTCCTATAATGGCATTTTCTGTGCCCCGGCTTTGGACGATCCAAACATCACCGTTGTGGCTGGAATTGATCTCAATCATGCAGATATTGCAGGCTATATTCCAGCCGAATTTGGTTTGTTGACCGACCTTGCTTTACTTCACATTAACTCAAACAGGTTTTGCGGGGTTCTTCCCAAGAGCTTCTCCAAGTTGAGGCTTTTGTTTGAGCTAGATATCAGCAATAACCGCTTTGTTGGCCCTTTTCCGGAGTGTATTCTACCAATTCCGGAGCTTAAATACATTGATCTTAGGTACAACAACTTTGAAGGCCAACTTCCTTCAGAGCTTTTTAACAAGCCGGCCGATGCTATATTTTTGAACCATAATCGGTTTACATCGACAATTCCTGAAAATTTGGGGAATTCTCCGGCCTCCGTGGTAGTGTTTGCCCATAACCACTTTGAAGGTTGTATTCCGGAAAGCATTGGTAAAATGGAAAAGACATTGAATGAGATTGTGTTCGCCAACAACAATCTCACAGGATGCTTACCAATGGAAATTGGAAAGCTTGAGAGTGCGACAGTTCTTGATGTGAGCGAGAACTTGTTTGGCGGCATCTTGCCGAAGTCCTGTGACGGACTCAAAAAGGCAGAAGTAATATCAATTGCACACAACAAGTTCACCGGTTTTGTGCCACAAAACATATGTAGCTTGCCTAGTTTGGTGAATTTCACATTTGCAGATAACTATTTCAATGGCATGGACCAAGGCTGCGAGCCTTCTTCTAGAAAGAATGTGGTGTTTGACGATACTGGTAATTGCATACCAAATAAGCCAAATCAAAAAGCAGCAAATATTTGCTCTGCTGTGACGAGCAAGCCTGTTGATTGTAGTAAGCAACAATGTGGTCACCCATCCTCACCTTCAAAGCCACAACCCCCTAAAGAAGAACACACTAAACCACAACCGCAGCCCCAGCAACCTAAAGAGGAGAGTCCTAAACCTAAATCTCAAGCACCACCCCAGCACCCTCCTAAAACACAGCCTCCCGAACCACCAAAAGAAGAGGGAACTAAACCTCAACCTCCCCAATCTAAGCCTGAATCACCAGAGGCACCATCTCCTGATCCTTATGATCGAAACCCAAAGCACCCACATCGACCGGACTCTCCACCGGCCCAATCTCCCTCACCTAAAGTTTTCTCTTCACCACCAACACCAGTCTATTCTCCACCCCCTCCAGTTCGTTCTCCACCACCTCCACCATTCCCCACCACCTCCACCTGTTCACTCTCCCCCACCGCCTCTGATCTACTCACCGCCCCCACCACCTATTCATTCTCCTCCACCTCCAATCCACTCTCCGCCCCCACCCCCTGTTCACTCTCCCCGCCCCCGATTTACTCTCCACCCCCACCCCCAGTCTACTCTCCGCCTCCTCCGGTCCACTCTCCCCCACCCCCCGTGTTTTCACCTCCACCTCCTATATCTTCTCCCCCACCACCTCCTGTTCATTCTCCTCCACCTCCGGTACATTCACCCCCACCTCCAATTTACTCCCCGCCACCTCCAGTCCATTCTCCTCCACCCCCGGTTTTCTTTCCACCTCCAACTCCTATCTACTCTCCCCCACCGCCTACTCTATCTCCACCGCCCACTTCTCCTCCCCACTCTCCCCCTCTACCTACTCTATCTCCAACGCCTGCTTCTCCTCCCCAACCTCTCCACCCACCTACTCTATCTCCAACACCCACTTCTCCTCCCCAATCTCTCCCTCCGCCTACACTATCTTCACCGCCTCCTTCTCCACCCCAGTCTTCCTCTCCACCTACCCTATCCTCGCCACCCGTTTCTCCTCCTCCAGAAGATAACATAATTCTTCCTCCAGTCTTTGGCGCTTCATACGCATCACCACCTCCACCAATCATTTCCGGCTACTAAATGATGGCTAACCTAATCAATTGCATTGTTAGATAAAACGTACAATCATTTTACATGCATTAATATTCATCTTCTTATGTTATTGAAATGTATGTCAAATGGCAACACAAATTGGAAGAAGAACTGTTGTAACAATATATTATATTGTTCTCATTTATGTTCATAAGCTTCTCTTATTGTAGCATCTCCGTTACGCAAGTTAGAAATTCTTTCGTGAGCTTTTATTATGAGCGCTCAATCCAGTTCGTAGTTTAATAAATTTGAGTTAATATCCATTTTCGTAATCACTTTTTACGTTTATTGTCATATAAACGAAAGAAAGAGGTAGTATTAACTAGCGGACATTAATTAGGGTCAGCTCAGGATTCATTCGTTGAGCTAAAAAAAAAACAATGAAATGCTTGAGGGGGGAGACGTTTAAGATAAAAGTGAATCCAGCAAAATGCATATGGCTTTTGAGTTGAATTGTCCAAAACAAAACAGCATACTAATAACTTCAGCGGAATAACAAGTCTCTGTATTAGAGTAATGTATATGGCAAAACTTGTTTTTAAATATGATGGGCACTTGCTGGTAAAAAAAAATATGATGGGCACTTGTTGGAAAAAGAAAAATATGATGGGCTCTTAAAACACAATTGACTTTTTTTTTTGGGTTAAATTTTTTTTTAATCAATAGCGAATTGATCTGTTTGAATGATGACAAATATACTGTTAAGAAAAAAAACAGTAGTATTCTTTCCATTCCTATTCCAATGACAAGATTCTTAATTCTTACTACCTCTTGCTTCTAATTATAAGAGCCAGTTAACTAATTTGAGGAGACTAAGGAAGTAAGTTGAGTTAGTTATTTGTCCTAAATAGGTGTTGTCTTTCTTAAAATATCATTGCTAATTAAGTGTATTGACTAGAATTCTTATTATTAGAAGGGCTACTTTGAAAAAAAATGTATAAATATAAGAGACAAAGTAGATTGGGGTCTTATATTTAGGACCAAAATAAAAGTCAAATAGGGTCTTTTATTAAAGACTGGACGTAGTACATCCCAATTAAACTGGCTTAGCTCATTTGTGTCTTCGATCTACTTTCGCTTCTCTACTTTTATTCTTATTTAGAGCCCATTATATTTGCTAAAATTTATATCAAGTGATCACATGACACTTTTGCAAATTCTGCAATTTGTCTTATAAATATTAAATAAAACCGAAAATGAATTTGTATTGGGTGATCATCGGATCTGGACGGTTCAGATTTAATTTTATTTTTATTTTATTTTTTTAAAATGATTATTTTAATAAGTATATAATAAAAAATAAAGATAATCTCTTAACTATCATGTTTTAAAAAAATAATTTTTTATTTTAAAATAATTATCTAAAAAATTAAATTTGAACCGTCCAGATTTAATCTGGAGGGTTCAGAATACTCATCAATGATGAGCACCGCATGCTCATCACTTGATAAGTATCATAGCGGACCCTTTGAAAATTTTATCATATAAGCAGAAGTGAAAGGAGCACGTTTTATGATTTTATATACAAGTAATTTGGGGACAATTGTTATTTGTTAGTTGTGAATACCAGGGTTCACTGCAGTTATCATGTTTTAGTCTTAGCCCACAATAATTTTAACAGGAAACAAGAAGGCGATGGACTTTGGTGACAAATGCGGTCGGTAAGAAGTGATGCTCCACTGCCGCCTCTCCATCGTTGGCCTTGTACGGTCAGTGATCATATTTCAAGGTGATAAGAGATGATCCGGTAGATTTTAGATGATCTCTTAATTATTGGCCACTGCGTGATTGTGTAATCTGGAAAAAGATAAATCAAGCAAAATATGATTACAATTATTTTCACCATTTTATATTATCTGTCATGGATGCTTTTTTTTTTTCGCTTTATAAAAATATTTATTAATGTATTAATTTAGATTTAAAAAATACATAAAACTCTTGTGAAAATTATTGAAAGGTCCCTGTTTAAAAATTTCATTGGTTAAAATGACCTGGAATGCTAGTAATTTATAAATTCATATCAAATCCTACTAACCAATAAAAATTCTAAATAGGGACCTTTTAACTGTTTTTAAATTTTATTCATTATTGATTTAAAATCTAAAATTACATTAATTTACCAGTAATTAAAAAGTGAAATTATTTATAAGTATTAAATAATACTACTATACTTTATTTTCAATTCCGGATAGCAACCTAGCAGGACTAAACTTAGTTGGACTAGTTCTCAATACGCAGTAGACACATAATGCACGCAATCAGAATATCATTCGTTCGTATTAAAATAATTCCAATCAGAGGCTCAAATGAGAAACTCAAATAAAAATGGGAATATTGCAACCAATTTTTCTTTTCGATCAAAATAATGACGTCGATAACGCTAGTGAAATGGATCTTCCAATATTTAAACGGAAGAGCAACATCATAGGTAATTTAAATATATTTTTGTGGAAACAATAAACAATATATTTTTGTGCATGCTAGTATTTGACTTGTTCCACTGTATAGAGAGCGAAAGGAATTGGTTGCAACGGCCGTTATGGGTGTGACGTCAGGCCGGAGGTGGATGATTAAGATGTTGCGGGAAGGAATCGGTGACGGAGATGAAGCAGAAGAAAATCATCAAACTCTTTGTGAGGAACTGCGCAAAAAGAGACGACTGGGAAGAAAACAGATGATCCTACCGAATGCTGTTTCTTGGGTGTAATCTCTTTTAATTACCGGGCCCGAATTTGCATTCCAAAAAGAAGACGACAGGGGGAGTTTGGATTGCATTGGAACTTGATGTATCATGAATTAAATTGGATTTTTGGGACAGGTTCTACGTCAAGAGCTGTTTGGATAACATAGAAAACTATGGTTTTGGAACCCAAACCATGGTTTGGGTCTCAAACTTGTCAAACACCCAGAAAAAAATAAAAACCATGGTTTTGGATCAAAACCATGGTTTGGAGCTCAAAATCATGATTTCAGAAGAAGTGAATTCATTCTACTTCTGGTTCAAATGGGAGAGTATGATTATGCCTGTAGAGTAGATCTCAATGATAATATAATTTTAACATTTCTCAATTATTTTTTTATAAACATATTTAATCTTATACTTTATAAATATATATACATATTAATTATATTATTTTATATATTATTAATTATGTTGGTAAAAAAATATATTATTAACAATTTTATTTTTTCAAATTAAAATATATTATAAAATCTATCTTTTATGTAATTATCATATTAACTTATGTTTTTTTTAGTAAAATTTGTACATATAAAAAGTTCTCTTGATAACAACTATCTAAACACTCTCATTTATCAGAATCACTTTTTCACAAAATCTATTCTTCATAAAATCTATTTTCTCTAAAAACTATTCTCCAAACCATGGTTTGGTTTCATCCAAACACCCTTCAAGTGATTCCAATTTCAGAATTTCAAAATAAGCAAAGAGTAAATTAAAAGGGGTAAAATTGTAGTGGCAGCAAGATAAAGAACATCAACATCGAGGAGTCTGATGAGGATTGAGTGACCAAAACTGATATGCAGACAACAACCTTTCATAATCTAATCTTTGATTTTTTGTCCGTTGCCATGGCCGTCCGTGCTATAGTGCTACCAGGTCAAGCCAACAGTGGAATCTCTCTCCGGAGCGCTTCCCACTCACCATAGCAGCAAGGAATCTTTCCCGTCCCCCGCACATTTAATTAATATTTGCTTTCTTGCTAAAATACCGTATCGATACGTAATGCTACCTCTCATCCTAATTAGAAGAGTTAGTTGATTAATTTAAAGAGATTAAGGAAGTAAGTTGAATTAGTTATTTGTCCTAAATAGGTGTTGTCTTTTCTAAAATATCTTTACTAATCAAATACATTGACTAGAATTATCATTATTAGAAGGGTTACTTTAAAAAAAATATAAATATGAGAGACAAAGTGGATTAGGATTTTATATTTAGGATCAAAATAAAAGTTAAACAGGATCTTATATTAAGGATCGGAGGTAGTATAAGAGTAAATTAATTAATTTAAGTAAATTAAGAAAACTAGTTAAGTTAGTTACTTGTAATAAATAGGTGTTGTCTTTTTTAAAATATCCTTGTCAATCAAGTGTATTCTTTAGAACTATTATTATTACAAAAACTACTTTGAAAAAAAATAAATATAAGAAATAAAATGGATTGATATTTTATATTTAAGACCAAAATAAAAATTAAACAAGTTCTTATATTCTTCCGGTCCTAAATATAAAATCTTTTACCGTGTAATTTACACTGAAAAAAAGTTTTATATTTAAAACTGAAAGAGTATTAAATACAGAAAGTAACATTAATTAATAATTTTCTTTAAATTAACATTAAAAAAGTTAGCGACCTCTTTTATGGGGGGGCGGGTTAATATGCCTTAAATGCAGGTCCCCTGCTGCTGGTTCATTGAGCGTAAGCGAATAACTGTCTGATAAAGCGATGGCTTCCGTGAGAGACATCCTTGAACTTCTTACCAGAGAGACCTTGGCCTCCGCTGTTGCGCTGGGTGGTTTTTCTGTGCTGCTGTTTATATTCTTCCTTGGAAAATCCAACAGCTTCTTCAAGAGCAAGCACTGCAAGCTTCCTCCAGTGCCAGGTATTACCATCTGCGGTTAATTATTTTGCGGATTGAAGTTCTTTTGGCTTTTCGTCCCCAAATGATCCCATTGCATGAAATTGATGAACGGCGGAATTGGGTGAAACAATCGTCTCAGAGGTTGGAGGGCGACTACCCCTGATCGGGAATCTGCTGCAACTGAAGGAGAAGAAACCTTACAAGACGTTCACCCAGTGGGCTGAGCAATATGGCCCCATTTATTCCATCCGAACCGGTGCCTCCACTGTTGTTGTTCTCAACACCGCCGACGTGGCCAAGGAGGTTTTTTGCCCTTTGTAACATATATTATCTGTTCAATCTGTTAGGCTTGAATAAACCATATCAGTCTTGGAACCCCGTACATGCAGAGGAATCACGCTATTCATTATCTACGTCTGCTTTTTATGGTTGTTTCAGGCGATGGTGACCAGATATTCCTCCATCTCATCAAGGAAGCTGTCAAATGCGCTAACGGTTCTGACCTCCAATAAATGCATCGTTGCTATGAGTGACTACAATGATTTTCACAGAATGACCAAAAAACATATCCTTGCGAACTTATTGGGGGCGAATGCACAAGTTTGTTACAGTAACTTTCTTGTTGCCTTAAGTATTTGAGCACGCATAGTTCTTTTTTCCGTGTTTGCTAAAGAAGTCATGAGATCTATTTGTTGATGTTTTTGTTTTCCCCCAATTTTCAGAAACAACACCGCTGCCACAAAGAAGCCATGATGGACAACATGTCAAAGCAGTTGAAAGAACATGTGAAGACCTCCCCTAATGAAGCTGTGAATTTTAGGAATATATTTGCGCCTGAACTTTTTGGACTTGCTCTGAAGCTAGTAAGTTTTCGTTCTGTATTAATATTTTTTGAGTACAGAGTGACCGTTAGTAAACTGAACACGATGAAATTTACAGGTGTTGGGCGAGGTTGTAAACTCAATTTATGTGGAGCAGCTCGGTAAGACCTTAACAAAAGAAGAGATATACAGGATTCTAGTGCTTGACTTGATGGAGGGTGCAATTGAGGTGGATTGGCGTGATTTCTTCCCTTATCTAAAATGGATTCCAAACAAAAGCTATGAGGAAAAAATTCGTGGAATCGATTTCCGCAGAAAAGCTGTTATGAGGGCATTGATCGACAAGCAGAAGAAGCGAATTGCATCTGGAAAGGTGGGTTTACTTTAAAGTATCACTACAACTTTGTGCAAAAAAAATATAATGGTGGGTGTCCTGACTCCTCTCTCACTGAATGTATTAGGAAGTAAACTGTTACATTGACTATCTCTTGTCATCACCGGAAACAAAAGAACTTACTGAAGAACAAATTCTTATGCTGCTTTGGGAGCCCATTATTGAGACATCAGATACCACACTGGTGACTTCAGAATGGGCCATTTATGAACTTGCTAAGGACAAAAGCCGACAGGTTTGTTGGTTCCTCCATTTGTTGATTGTTTTGTTTCATCATCAGAGAATATACCAGCCCGTGGGAATGTTTACTGTATCTGGATTGCAGGAGCGACTGTCTGAGGAACTCCAAAATGTTTGTGGACCTAACAACCTCACTGAAGACCATTTATCAAAGCTCCCATATTTAGGGGCTATTTTCCATGAAACCTTAAGAAAGCACAGCCCTGTTCCAATTGTGCCTTTGAGATATGTCCATGAAGACACCCAGGTGGGAGGATATCACATTCCGGCAGGAAGCGAGGTGAATTAATCTTTGGAACTTAATTACTTTTCTAAGGTTTGTGTGGAGTGATGAGATGACTAGCATTGACAATATGGTACGTGTTGAACACAGATAGCAATAAATATATATGGATGTAACATGGATAAGAACAAGTGGGAGGATCCTTCCGAGTGGAAGCCGGAGAGGTTTCTGGATGAGAGCTATGACAATGCGGATCTGTACAAGACGATGGCGTTTGGAGCAGGAAAGAGGGTGTGTGCAGGGAGCCTTCAGGCTACTTCAATAGCTTGCGTTGCAGTTGGCAGATTTGTTCAGGAGTTTGAGTGGGAGCTCAGTGAAGGGGAGGAAGACAACGTGGATACGCTGGGCCTCACCACACACAAGCGCTACCCCTTGAATGTGAAGATCAAGCCCAGAAATTAATGGAGTAGTAATAATGCTATAATTGCTCTAAATTTCACCAGCGAATGGGTCTATGAGACATGCCAACCTTATATGACAATGACAGAGATCCCTAGTTCCTATTCCCAGATGAATAAAATTATGAATAGTATAATAGTATTCTCTAATAAGTAAGGTTCACATGATGGCGTAGGAAATCTCCGAAATATTCTCTGACCGAAGCCGGTGGAAGGTATCATTATTATGCCTTTTGTATTGCACGCTAAAATTCAATTGAATAATCTTGTTCATTGGGGGAGAGTACCAAGGCTCATCACAATTTTCTCATATTTTATGCTGATTGATGGCGACTAATAATAACAACGACATTGATTGTTGGCCACAAAAAAATGATACTCCTCCGGTCCTTAATATAGGACCTAATTGTTAAGTTAGTTTTGGTTCTAAATATAAGACCAATTTATCATATTTATCACTTTTATCTAAATTACCCCTATAGATACTCCCTCAACTATAATCAAGTAAAAGAGAAATAGGAGTATTAAGAAAGATGATTATGGTATTTTAGGAAAAACGTGTCATATTTCTTATAATTAACTAATTTACCTAACTTCCTTAATCTAATCAAATTAGTTAAATGGATCTTATATTAAGGACCGGAGGAGTAATAATATTGATATTTAACAAAAAGGAGATGGAATTTGTTGACACTTTTTTTTTGGACGAATGCTGTCAGTGAGGAAACCACTCTCCAATATTCACACTCCATGAGTATTATTGGGACCATAACTCCAGGCGATGAGATAATGCACGAGATTTTAGAGGGTCACTCAATTATTGGCCCCGGCGTGAGTGCGTGATCTGCACATGAATCAAGCCCGCACGCGCAAACAGCTTTATAGGATTCGATAGAGTTTTAATTAGTTATAATTATGATAGCAATTGGCTGTCGGTCCCAAGTTCAAAGGTAATTATTTTATGGATAACGAAAATTAAGGTGGTAACTTATAGTTGAGATGGTAAATGGTTTTAACTTTTCAAGACGGAGAATACAAGTTCGGATTATAGGAAGCGTAGTTGTTGTGAAGATTTTAATTTTACCGCTCTTGACCCGATAAAAATTAATATCAAAAATAATTTGACCATATTCTGAATTATATATATATATATATATAAAAAAGATCACTTATAGTATATTGATGTGTTTTAATTAAAATAAAGATTCTAACTCAATTGGAAGACGGGCATTATTTAAAGGTAATTTCAAATAAATTTTTGTTCCGATAATAAATAATTAAGACAAATCACTGAGGGGCAAGTCACGGGCGCACTTTGCAAGGTCATGTTCCATATCGTGGTCTGAATTCTGAAGTCTGAACATTGAACAGCACGGGTATGCACAAATTCACGTGAAAAGGCCAAAAACATGGTGGATGGGGTTGGTTTTAATTGCCATTTCCGACCTTGACTGTAACAGGAACAGAGATGGCAATGGAGTTTGATGGATGATGGATTATTGGACAAGGGTCGAGTTTGCCATTCCGTTAAAACTCGGGCGGAATCTTTCTCTCAAGAGATATTTGCTTTCTTGTTGAAGTAATGAGCATAACAAACTGAAGCCCAACCTCTCCCTTAAAATTGATTCGTGCTGTTCTGCTCCACAGGGCCTGAGATTTAAACTGTAAGGAAGCATTTTTGAGCTTTATATATAACAGAACAAATAGGCATGTAATTCCTACTCAAAACGGGTGTAATGGAGCTGCGGATAAAGACAAACCAACAAACTGAGCTTGAAATCTAGAAACGGATTGCAGCGCGAGAATAGGCGAGTTTAGATACTTTCACAATAATAAAAAAAATATTTTCACATTATTAGAAATAAAATTTTTCTCATATATTTATTTCAAATAAAATGAAATAATTTTGAAAAAAACTAAAGTCAAAACAACGAAAATGATTCTACCAATCATGCCGTCCCATGACAGGGTTCTGATATCGATGAAAGAAAAATCAAATTTAAGGAATCTTTTAGACTTTGTAGCTCTATCGAGGGATTATTAAAAATATAAGAAATTCTTACACTTTGAATGAACAGAGATAACTTGACAAACTTTAAACTAAATCGAGACGAATCTAACTATAAATATTGAGTTACAAACTTGATAAAATAATAATGGTCAAGTAGTTAATTTTTCCAAAAATTTATAAAATTTAGCAAGTTATCATAGAGATGTTAAATTAATTTGCAGTAGGCGAAATAATTTCAAATAATTTTTTTATTTTTAATACGTGCGTTGACAAGAAATTCTGAAATGAAATGAATTATGGTTTATAAGTTTTTGATGCACAGTTAATTTAAGTAATGAAACAAGTTTGTTTTCAACTTTACGAAACAAATTATAGTTTATGCTGGCATATATCGTTATTTAAGTGTTTATTTTATTGTTATTCACGCTTATAAATAAAAAAAATAGAGGAAAATATATTGACATTTTCTCTATTTACCAGTGATAAAAATCTCCTTATTTTTAAAATATATATAAATCTTGTTTGAAATCAACATGAGTAATCATGTAACATGAACATCTTTTTCACTCTTAAGAATTCATTTCATCCACCCAGTCATTGATTTTTTGTTAAGGCCACATGTTTTGGACCAAAATATCCCTTCTCGATATAGATGTTTAAAAACCATTTAGGGTAAATACTGGTGAAACACTCATAAAAGTTTTTGTGACGTAAAAACATATTTTAAATTTTCTAGTCATATAACTTATTTATTTGTTTTTTTTTTTTTAAATCTCACCATGACGTAAAAACTTGTTATCTGATATGATTATAATGTGCATTGACTGATTTATAAATAGCCGTCGATTTCACGTTTTCAGTTCAACAAATAACACGCATTAAAAATCGCATTTATTGAAAACCTATAAATAATGGCTTGTTACTCGTTTAAACTCGGCGAAATCGTATTAACTTGGTGATTTATATGCGAGTTTGAAACTAACAACAAAACTCACTGAAAGCAATCAAATTTTTGTTAACTTTGGAGATTTGAGAGAAATAAGAAGAAGAAATATGGAAATCAAATGTATTATTCATGATAGAGCATATGCTCATACAATTACTGTAACCCACTTGGGTTAACACTAATCATCCCTTACACAAGGATGATGAACAAACCCCATAACCTATGAGGATTCTTGAGGTGGGAGACCCAAGTTAACCTCCCCCTTCTATAATGAAGACTACATTATCTCACACCCTTAATCTATGCACTAAGACCCTATTTATAGGCCTATCTCACTTAACTAATGACTCAATTATCCTCTCTCTAACAATTTTAAAGTTTTCTCCTATGCCCTTCAGTATGTCGTAAAAAATACTTGAATATTTAAAGAAAAATTTATGAAATAATATTCCCAACCCATAAAATTATAATATACAACGATAAAATCATTTTTGTTAAAATTACGTAAAATATTAATATAAAAAATTGAAATATTTATATCAAAGCATGCGTAAAAGACAGTTAAATTATTTAACTGTAAATATCTTTAAAATATTGAAAATCCAAATCAGTGTTCTGAATTATAATTTTTATTAAATTTATAATTATTTTATTATTTGATAATGTATAGTGACTTCGTATATGAATTTCATAAAAATATCTACAATGAGTATGATAAACTATGAATGTTGACGGGTTTAGTTTTAATTATTTGGGTTTAAAATATTTGTTAACTAAATTTTTGTCATTTTTATATTTAAACTATTTAATTACATATTTTTAATATTTATTTATTAATAGAAGTAAATTCTCACAACTTTACCATTCGAGCTCATGATTCGAGTTTACATACCTGTTACGAGTTGTTTTAAACTCGTGAGTTTAACAACCTTAATAAATACCTGTGAACGAATTCATTAAACTATAAAACCTAAGTCAACTCAGTTAAATTCCAATATAGAAATAGAAATTTAAAATAAAATTCACTCTAATAACATTTATTTTACAAATAAAACACAAGTGATTGATTGAAATTTATGATTTTTGGCGCATTCAATAGCATTTATTCTTTTGTGTTTCTACTTATGACCATCCACATTTACGAAAGAGGAATGTTCAAAGTATGTGATATATGCATCCAAATAATATACATATATACTACTCTACAACGCAGCGTAAATGATGATACACTCATAAAAGTTGCGGTGAATGCACCTTGCGCAGAAACATCTGGTTCTGTTTATTACGCTACGAGCACGAACGAATGTCACATTACCGCTTAGTACATGCACGTGGCCATATTTGGAGGCACATTTAAGCTTCACTCACTCTATTTCCTGTTTACCTGCATTTAGTATTACCACTTATTGTACTGTTACTGCTCTGAATTTTAATATAAAATCTTATTAATTTTTATTTTTTATCTTATTATAAGATTTTAATTCATTTTGTCTCTCATATTCATCTATTTTTTTCAAGATAGTCTTTCTATTACTAGTATTTTTAACCAATACATTTGATTAATAATGATATTTTAGGAAAGATAACACCTATTTATTACAAACGACTAACTTACCTTATTTCTTTAATCTGCTCAAATTAGTCAACTAGCTCTTATAATTAGAACCAGAGGTAGTATATTCCTTTCTATGGATACTTCAATTATCGATAGAATAAAAAAAAGTTAAAATTAATTAAAAATATAAATAGGTAAAAAATATAACTTATTTTTTAATAAAAGTATTATTGTATCTATACAAAAAAGGGCTAGAGAAAGAATGATGGAAAAAGACATAACAGAGGCATAATTGCGCAG